CGTAATAAATAATGTTGTAGCCGCTGTTATCACATCTCATAGGATATTACGTTCTTTACGCGCCGTTCATATTTCGGAACTTATTACATTTTATCCAATGAACCACTTTTATAGCAAAGGTTTATTGCTAGGTAGATAAAGACGTGATAGCTTTTTCTTTTCTCTTTCTCTGGTCTGGAAATTTGTTGAAAAGGCAAATAAATGGAGCCTTATTAATTTATGTTACTAACAGCAGCAATATTTCTTAAAGTTGCTTGATAATATAGGTTTATAGTTAATTAAAACGAAAATCTTGACACGTTATTTCTATCATAGAAACAAACATCTTTTGCTTTAAAACTTCATACTTCGGACAACAATTTTTAGCAATTATGTGTGAGAGAAACCAACATTAACGTTTTGTGATTAAGGTAAATTTCCAAAAGTCATATGTATAAAATGTGTTGAATTTAATTATATTATGATGTGTTAAGAGGTTTCGGTTTATGAAACAAGAACCCTGTTTATTACATACAGGTAAAATATTAAATGAATTCTTTCCAACATCAACACAGCAGGTGTTAAAAATTTAACAGACTGAGAAAGTAACGAAAGCTTTCTGAATCATAGGAAGCTGCAAGCGACGGACCAATTTACCTTCTCTTATGATTAATAACGTCTTTGTCGTTCGAAACCCTCCATTTTGCCCACTGGTATTGAATGTATCGAATAGATATTAGGTAGTACATAACTATAGAACCCGCTGTCGGCGCCCAACTTGAAAAGAGGTCTGATGACGGTTTTTCATCGACCCATCTATTGTAAATGAAACACAATAAGAGTAAAATTGTACTATTCACAAGAAATTGTATTCACTTTTATTTTCGGGAAACATTACCTAGCATTGTATGTGTATTTTCAAAGCTTTGTGTCTCAACCTGGTGGTTTCATCGTCTTTTTCTGGCAATGCTCAGAAAGATATTTATTGTTGGCAGAAATCGAACAAAAGGGGGTTTGATGATTATTATTTCTTGTAATATCTTATAAATTAAGTAGTCTTCATAAGGCTTTTTCACTCTTGTGTGGCGTTGTTGAGCGTACATTATAGAGCAACTATGTTCTTCGTATAGGTTAACCCTGTCGCGTTGTAACGTAGCAGTATACATTGTCTTATTTACCCTGTATCCTCCGTTGATAAGGGTTACGTTGTCACCCTATGCTTATGTCCATATACATATATAGAGAAAGATTGGCCGCAGGCTTAGAGGACTTTGACATTACTCGAGATAATAGTTCAAAAGATTAACCCGTTCATGCTCAGTAACAGCGTTTACCGTAAAATAAAACATCAGATTATGATAATACTGGATCCCAGTTTCGCTATATGGAGCTCAAAAAACTAACAGTCGGTGCCATTGAATTTTATAATAGTAAGTTAAGTTAGTTAAGTAAGTTAATCAAATAGTTTTTTCTATAAAACGCATATGTTTTTTAACCGACTTAAAAAAGGAGGAAGTTCTCAATTTCTCTAAATTTTTTGTGCGATGTTACGCGATAACATGAGATGCGATGCCGAGAGCAATTGTGTTCCGATTTTGATGATTCTGTTTTTTGTTGCAAAGAGGTACCTACCTCAGTATTGTTCCCATTTAAATTTGAAGGAAATATTCCACCTCTAAGGGTGGACTACTAAACTAGGGGTTACGAAGCCGGTTTCGCTTCGCGCTCTTTTCGGTAGCCGATTTCAATAAAACTTGGCAAAGATATGTAGTTCCACGAACTTTTGAGGTCGGTTTTTTCTTATAAAAAAGTTATATTAATTCAGTACGCAACGGCAATCTTCCCACTAATGTCAATGTCGTACTTTCTTTTTTTTATAATATTAAGTGACACGCCGAAGAAGTCGTGCAACTTATGGTAGGGCTTTAAATTGCAAAGATCTGAGGGGCATTGCCACTGCGCCCGTCATCCTGAGACATAAGTTGACAAGTCCCATGTGCCTGTAATTTCACCAGCACCCTTACCCTTCAAAACCAGAACACAGTAATGCTAACATTACTGTTTGGCGGCAGAATATCTCTTCTGCTACTCTTTTATATAAGAACGTTGACGAGATCAGCCGTCTGTGATAAAGCGTAATTACTCGTATTATATTGAACTAATAAAAGCACTACAGCACAAAGAAAAGTAGTGAAATTTTATGTGCGATACTATTTAAGTACTATCCTTGAAGGGGTTAATCTAAATTCAGCAGCCCAGTGTCAGCGTGTACTGAAATTCAAACAGGACTAGCCGCAACGTAATCTTGTGGCTGTCGACCAGGACCGTGAAGTGCCCACGTTAATCCCGCTATCGCTTTCAAATGACGCTACACTCTTGTAAACAAAGTACGACGAGCTTTCTTGTTTACCCTTGCTCCACTCTGTCATTAGTTATAAAACTTAACCGCAGCCAGTTAACTTCTGATCGATCGACACTTAATAAATACAAAATAACAGACAATCATCAATTAACATAATCTTAAAACTAGGGGGTTCCCTGTACTATGTGTGCCAAAGAAGCATAAATAATTTGTGGATTTCTTTTTTTTTTTTCATTTATTATTTTTGTTTCTTTTTTATTATTTTCTTTTTGTTTAAAAATATACCAAGCAGTTTTTCGTTCTTTTCTAAATTATATTTAATAGTGGAAACTTTGCCGGTTTAAGTGAACACTGTTTTTGTACTATAATCTTGTATACAAATTGTAAACTGTTTGTTTCTCAAATAATTAAAAAAAAAAATGGACCGCTATCCATTAATAGCCAATAGCCAACACCCAATAATAGCCAATAGTACAAAATAACATTATAATGAAAAGCTTTATAGCTAAACCTTTTCCCTTAATAACAGATACGTTTATATTTATTTATATAAAAGTAATACCTCACTATGAATACTGGTCAATGAATAAATGGAAAACAAGAAAATAGGACACTAGGTATTAGCTCACCTAACTGGTGATAATTTATAAACGGTGCCTGTGTTTAATTAAATTATACTTTTTTTATATAATATCAAGTGACGGGACGAACAAGTCGTGCGTCTGATGGTAAGCTCTACCTACGCCTGTCCATAACAGTTGTAGTGCCACTTAGAGCTTTAAATCGCAAAGATCTGAAGGGCACTGTCACTGAGCTTGTCACCCTGAGACATAAGTTGACAAGACCCATGTGCCTGTAATTTTATCAGCACCTAACACTGTTACACAATAATGTTACATGTAGTCTTAGAAACTACCCAGGCCTTATAAACTTATTTGTATATAGTCTGATATACATTGTACGACTAATCCAAAATGGCAATACGACGCGACGTACTTGTACATTGGCCTCGCCTCATTGGGCGGCATCAGCCGTCGCAATTGTACCAATAACCACTTCCTAATTTTCTCGTTTCCGGAGCCCCGCACCGCGCTAGCTACGTTAGTTCGTCCCTCCCGTAATAAACACGCAAAATTATTTTATACTCTCGTTCTATTACTTTAACCTCAATGTTAGTTTTAAGTTTTTCGTTATAATAAGTGTACGATTTTATTGCGCTGATATTAAAATATGTACCTCAAAAGATGATGATGAACTAATTTCCGCGGTCAATAAAATTCTTCGAATGTACACCGTTTTGTAAAGGACGCTTTTCAACTATGAAGACGGATTTTAATTTTAGTTGTCTGGATGGGATCAAACCCCGAGGGCACTTCACTTTTTCAGCAGGAATGAACCAAAATCCTGTAAAATCGTAATTTAATTTCGTTTGCGGCTGACCTCGCCAATAACAATGCTAAATTTACAATTACAATTTATTTATTGATTCAAAAAGTAGGTACACATTTTAACCGTATCTCTCGATCTAGGCGAATCTTTACAAACAATATGAGATATGTTAATAATTATTAACAGTCCGTATTAATTTTATGAATAAGCATTATTACTTTATGTTAAATAATTTCATCATGTCAACGAGGTTAGACATCAAAGATTCTTACAATTTGATTTAAAGTCCGTCTCACCTTACTTTCCGCCTTCGCGCATTACGCAGCGCTGCTGTATCGGTCATGGAGTCAGTAACTACCGTAGCGAATTTTATTGCCAGTATAGAGTGGTTCGTGGTGTCGAAAACTTTGAAAGGTCCCGACAGAAAAATGCGACGTCCTTCGCATCGAAAATACACTGTATAATGGAAAGTGTTGTCGAATGCTCGCCACTATAAGTGTGCTGAAGATCACAAGTTACAAAGATGGACGAATTTTCAAATAGCTTTGCTAGAACCGGAGAGACTTCTGAGGTAGACTCTTTCCCAAATGCACCCATTGAACAAAACTAAATGGTCTCGCCACTGTCATCGCTATTGAGCGCAGTAATTCAGATGAAAGGCCGTAAATGTGTCTCGTGGTTTTATTAGTAACCTTTGTTATAATTATACGACGTACTTGGAATGGTGTTAAATAAGGTAGCCAATTATTTTTATATTGCATTATTTGGACGTTCTATATTTTGCACCTAATATAATTTCATCTTATAACTTTACCAACCTCGAAGCATGTTTATATAACTTGAGTTGCTTACATTGTATGAAGAACTGCTACATAAGCTTTGCATGTCGCCTGGTACATATTAATTACCAATACGTAGTTTCATAATCAATAGCATGCCTGATCTGTGCATGGAACTGGCCATGGGTATAAATACGTAGTGATGTGATGACTGTTAGGTGATGGTGTGACTCGTGTTTTGGCACGAACTCACTGTCAATATTTCGATTCGCAGCCCAGAAACGTCAACTATAAACAGGGGTATTTATTACGACAGAATTAGTAGACTGCGTCCCTGAGACGAAATTACTTTGATTTCTAGGTTGATCTATTATGTCCTGACGATGGAAACACTATAATTACGTCCTCAATATCAAAAGTAACTGTTGAGACTACTACGATAGGAGTTATTTTTGTAATCATGTATCAACACGTGTTTTTGTTGATTTCAGCACATGGTGGGGACGGGCATGGCGGCCCCGTTCCCTGCGGCGGCGGCGGCTGCGGCCGCAGCTGCACATCAGTTCGCAGCCAACGGCGATGCCCTTGCCGGCGTAAAAGCAGAGGCCAGTGGACCCACCGCGCCAACACAATCCCCACTGGTCAAGAGTGAAGGCCCCCCTGCTCCTGCGCCTCTCCCGCCTGCCAACTTTTCACCTCAACCACCGCAACAATCACATGCAGCGAACTCCATAGAAAATCAAAATAATAACAACTCAGTGAGTAACTTAATATGGAATCTTAATTTCATACGTCAGAAGTAAAATTATTGCCGTCTTAACTTAAAACAGTGTGGTATTGATGTATAATGTTACTACAATATTTTCAGCAAAGTGAAGGAGAATCGAATGAAGAGAACACTCCAGTTAGCGTAGCGGTAGCGGTAGCGGCACAGCAGCAAGCGGCAGCAGTGGTGGCACAGCAGGCAGCGGCGGCTCATGCGGCCGCCGCCGCGGTCAGTGCCGCTGTCGCCGCAGGCGCCAATGCTGCCACTGCCACGCCAGACAAAACCCTTGTGCCTGTCTCACAAGCCTCTCAACCGAAACGGTTGCATGTTTCCAACATACCATTCAGATTTAGAGATCCAGATCTCAGAAATATGTTTGGGGTACGTAATTTTACAAATTTTACTCCCTTTCGTCATAATATTAGCACGGCACGAATTTCAATGTTGTTTGTACTAGACGCAGAAAGAAAATATATTTTAATTACCACAATTTTACCTTTCAGCAATATGGCACAATACTTGATGTAGAAATTATCTTCAATGAACGAGGCTCGAAGGTAAGCATTGCTCTAACTTGACAGTTTAAACAAAGTGGCTCTTTGAAATCTTATCTAGCAAAGATTTCACAGTGGCCACTTTATTGATTTATAAGAACTAAGAATATTATTAAAAATGAAGCGCTAGATAAAGCGAAAGCGTAATTTAGCAAACCCTCAATTGTTTATCGCTTCATTTGTATATTACAAAATACGGGAATACACTTAAAGCTTACACTTTATTACATTTACCTGTGAAATTTCACGTGAACTTTCTTGTATCTGTTTTTACACTTTATGCACATAATATATTCCTACATTTTGTAAACACACTGTAGCTATTGTTTTAAATTTTCCTATATCTTTATTTAACAAAGACAATCTTATTTATTATACTTTGATACTTTTACAAACTGAAATAATATTCAATAGCTAGGGTGTGGTGCTACGTTTATTATTAATTGCTGCCCAAACTATTTCATTTTAAAGTTACAATAATATTATATCACATTTAAAATCTATCTCGTTTCATTTGTGCAACTTGAATTACCCAGGCTTCACCAAATTTAAGGCAATGGGCTTAAATCTATAAATAAAATTACTAGTAATTGAGTTTAAGACTTCTTTCTATTGCATAATTATTAATGTTCTTAATTTTAATGTTTGGAGCAGTATCTCTAATTGCATTGTATATTACCATAACTACGACTAAGACTTCTCTGATTTTAATTATACAAACTTGTTTATATTACGTATTCTTCGTTTGTTGTACCTTTGACATACTTTTTTCCTGAATTTTTTCTTTGATGTTTAGTTTTGTGGTAGATGTGGCGTTGGCATTTGAGCTAGATTGTTGCGTACTCGCTATTTACAAAAGTAAGTCATTGGTCCAACCAATACCGAGATTTAATACGTTTATATATGTACGTGATACTCAAAAAACAACTCATTGTAAATGTCCCCTAAAGATGAACGAAAGATATTATCGAAGTGTCTTACAATGTAATGATTGGATTGACCGCTTTTTCGTGTTTACTGCTTTCCTTGTGTCAGTTTGGTGACCGCCCCTAAAGTAGTCCATGCTCGCTCATGTCAAAAATATTTTACTCTTTTGAAATAATAGCTCCAAGTTATTTTTTCTTCAATGCCTCACATGGGATATGCAGTATTAGAGAATGATGCATCGTCACTTTAACAGCTGATTTCCTAAGTCATATTTCAGGACAGCTCTATTATTCATCACTAATATGGTTGTTATAATCGTCCAAACTGCACCGCTTTTCTCCATGAATGTGTAATGTGTTCATTTTTAACTAAACGTGTAGTATTTTAAATTAAATTCTAATATGTACTATCTTGTTTGGCATTAAATAGGCATTGTTTCTATACATTGTTATGTGTGTGTAGATTGGATGAGGAATCATTCTGAAATATTTAATTTTAGACTATTAGATTCTTTAATGACTTATTTTCTGTCCATATGTTATTAATATCAGTTTGTTAAATCATATGCTTCTTAACAAGGGAAAATAATTTTTTCATTAGTTTTGGGCATGTATTCGCTGATCCTAAATACTGTGTTAATAAGTTTTATAACATCCGTTATAATTATCTAGAAGTAACTAGGGTGCATCTCTTAGTTTGGCTTATGTCAAATGTCACTTGTGTCTTCTGCGTGTGCGGGGCACGAGCCCAGAGTCCGTCGGCGTCGGGCGCAACGCCTCTCGGCCTTCGGCGTCGGGTGCAACGCCTCTCAGCCCTCGAACCCTCGCGAGAGTTAGACGGGTTGATGCCCTCGCCTCCTCCCCGATGCCAACTCTTTCTCTCTGCCCAGAAAATTCTCTTTATGTCAAAATTACTGCACTCAGAATGGTAATAATAGAGCTGTCATTGCTTTTATAAGTGTAAGCGTTTCGTACAATCAGCAACTTGTTTGCCACTTTCACAACTCGTTTCTTCCACTGTATTGTGTGCTGTGCTAGCTGCTTTTTGTATCTATGGGTTATCACCATGTATTGACAGTAGTTTAATTTGACTTAGCACAACAAATATACCATTATAAAGTCACATGTGAGTGTGACGAAACATTTGCTCTATGTTACAAACGCAATTTTTTTCTTTATATTAAAATATTGACTTTTCTTGAAACTCACTTTGGTTTGGCTGAGTAAACCTACGATAACTTCCGAATGATATAAAATTGCTTTTCATTAATTGAAGATGTTTAGACTAAAGCACTGTATATTAAATGCACACACAATAATTCAATTTACTATACGTATCGGCTAGAGAACCTTAAATTTGTTAGCAACTGGTAATGGTGTACTTTACACCCGCTGAATTTTGAAATGTTAATAACGTTGTATTAAGTGGAATATTGCTTAAATATATTGAAGGAGTCTGCGTTTCGTCCGTGATATGTAGTACACGTCCTAGTTGATTTAGTTGTGTGCATGGCCGGTGATTTTTCTGTATAGATCAAATTGCAGCTGACATCCCACACAAGTTTACCTCTCATTTTGATTGAAGTAGTATGTATCAATTAATTAGCTTCGAAGAAAATCCTTACGACTCGATATTATTGTCTTACACAGCGATACTGATTATTCTTCCGTTAGTACAGACTACTAGGTCGAGTGACATTTAATTTATTGTAATCCAAACGCTTTGTGTACCCATTCAGCTAGACTACGCTCAAAGTACCAACGTAACTGAACAAATAAAATCCTTTCAATATATCACTAGAATATCTAAAAGAATATGCAATGCATAAATGTTAATTTTTGTTGCACGTTGTTTTTTGAGCGACGCTGTTTTTAATGCATGTTTTGTCTGTCTTGCATGCAGGGATTCGGTTTTGTAACATTCGCAAATAGTGGTGATGCGGAGCGAGCACGAGAGCGTCTTCACGGCACCGTGGTTGAGGGCAGAAAGATAGAGGTGTGCATGACTCAATGATTACCATCCGTAGCACTCTGTAACTTATAACATCCCGCTCCTATGCCCACCGCCCACCGCAACCTGCGCTCGTCTGCTCTGTAGTTACTGTCATGCTAGCGACCGGCGCCGCGCCGCGCCGGCCCGGCCCTCGCCCTCTTAGCACTAAGTATGCCGTCGTCTAATCCACAAACAAACCTTATTTATTTTATCCCTTTACTCTCTAGACGGTCATTTAAAATGCCGATCGAATGAGAGTGTCTCACAGAGAAATGTAGAACGAACCGTACCGTCATGCGACAGAGGTAAGACTATAAATACAACTTTTAGTTCAATCTTTCTTTTTATCTTAACTACAGTTCAGTACTAACAACAAACTACAGACGACTGAATGGCATTCGGAAGATTCCTTTTAAAATGATTACAGAAAATTACAAATCCCCAATTATTGTATCTCTATACATATCCTAGAATCCTTGCTCTAACAAAAACGTGTTATGTGTCTCGAATGCACACTTTTCGACTGCAAATTTCTTTCACGAGTGACGGTTGCTTAGATACTGTAAGTAAACTTCTCCGCTGATCGACACACGTAACACTATTTGGCTGACTTTAATTTTTTTTTACTAATGAACAACGTAATTTTATCACTTTTCCTCGAGCTAATTTGATGGGTTCGAATCCCATATTATACAGTTATCTTTTCTATGTGTTTTCTATGGGACTGTTTTCGTGCATTCACTGTGCATTTTAACTAGCAAAACACAGTTAATCAAATTTAATTACTTTTATAATCTAGTAGACTTTGTACATTTACATTAACTGTAGCTTTTCAAAAAGTCAGCCAGTAAAGTCGCATCTTTTTGTATATAGAATGTATTCTGACTTATCACATAAATTCTAAAACAGGTTAATAATGCGACTGCGAGAGTACAGACGAAGAAACCTCCAGCGGTACCCAACGGTGAGTTCGCCAGTATACTTTATAAATTTCCAATGAATTAAGTAATTCAACGTCCTTGTTTTGCAATATATTTCACAAAATCAAATATCATAAAATACCAATAAACACTCCCCCATGTTTGTTAAACACAATTGTTTACACATGATTTCGAATATAATGCATCTTGCAATTTTCTCTTTTTAATCCGTCCAGTTATTCTGGCTAGAAATGGATCAGTTCCCACTTTGGGTGAGAGAGCTGATATTTTAAAAATCGGTGTTGTCCATGTTGATGTACCTAAATAATGCGTGTTGGCTAGATCCGTTGTCGGAATGCAAGTAGGTGAATGCTATTTAGAGAATGAGCCCACTGTCAGCGCCGGAGACAGTCTGCGCCTGGCAATAGTGTTGTGCAGTACAACTACATGTCTCATCTCCCCGGCCACTCTTATCAATGCTGACAAACAGCTAATTAATCGAACAACATTAACATTTGTCGATACCATCCACTTGCTCGTAGTATGGCTACTTTCTTTTGTTCTTGTTCAACTTCCAAACTAAAGTCACGTGTACTTGCACAGTGTTGGAAGAGGCTGTCTCCGGCATCCATTGCCTGATCAATTGTTAATCTGTGTCCGAACGGAGAACACCAATATTAGACGGCTTGTTAGATTAACTTACACTCTGTTGTTCAATTTATGGCATACACATGTTATTATAATTATTTTAACGTTCGCTGGAATGAATGCCACTGCAGTCTTGCACTACTGTAAAATATTTCTGTCTATTAGTAGAGAATGTTTTTAGGTTTGTCTTCTTTGTGCTAGCCAGTTTAGATTACACACAATGCTCAATTGGTTCCTACTAAATGTTTAATTTTATTTTGTTTCAGTGTGTGTCCAATGGCCCGAAGGTGAGAATTGCGACATTTGCTGTACGATACAAAGCTATATTTAATATATATTTTAATTAGGTACATACTAAATGACCTTAACATAAATTTGAATAAAGCATGTCTTTTTTCACTTATATGGTGGGAACCAGTATTTAATTAGCTCGATTTGCTAAACACTTAATATTAACTTTCTTATTGTACATGTTTGTGGTGAATATATTTCTTTAGAACAGAAGTCAAAGCTCAGTTCGTTGCGCGTGTCGCACTTGACGTGGCATGGTCGTTTACAGTTTGCAATTTAGAGTAGTTTTTATTAATTTTTAATTTGTGATTAATGAATGGGAATTATCAAACTGAATGCGCATCGTATTCGTATTTGTATATTTTGTAAAATCTAGAAGTAAGACATTAATAGAAAGTCCGCTAAATGCATTGATTATCGTGCATCTTTCCAAGTAAGACGCATATAGGATATTTAGGTTTCTGAAATCAAAATTCAGCATTATTAGGTCGAGACCGCACCTACGGCGTTCTTTCGTTTCGCATTCTCCTGAGTGGTTTCGAAAAGTACGTAGCTACGAAACGTATCTGGCGGCCCTGGCCGGACTGGGGAGTTACGACCGAGAGACGACGGAGAGTCGCCATATGGTGGTTAGTGTCTAGAGGCGCGGTGTGTGCGCAGGACTGCGGGTGTCCGGCGTGACGTGGCCGTGGCTGGGCGCCGCGCCGGCCGCCGCGCCCGCGCCGCCGCTCGTGCTGGCACCGCGCGCCGCGCAGCGACGCAGGTACCTCGCATGCTAGTACTAGCCTCACGTGTGTTGCATGTAGCGTCCGCGTCCGCGGCCGCGCTGCGCGGAGCCAGCGTAGTGCGCGGTCGCAGCCCGCGCCCGCCCCCGCCCCCGCACGCACCGCACTCGCCCCACGCGCACCTCCCGCACGCCGCCACCCTCCTGCCCCGCGCCGCGCCATTCGCCGCCTACGCCCAGTGAGTACTCGTCCTCCGACCCCGACCCGAGCCCTTTCTGGACGCCTCCAGGTGAAAAAAGAATCGTCGGCAGAAGTACCGCATAAAATCAAGATAGATATATCTGATACTTCTTCAGTTTGGATTTAAATACACGCCAATTTTAGTATTGATTATTCGATTGATTGCAGCGATAGACGAGGCTGTTATGACCTTCAATTTTGTCCCAACTGTTATCAGTCGCCCTGCTCTACCCCAGTATGTTCCTGCCCTTTGACCCTGTCCTTTGATTCCTTGGTATGCACTAATTTTATGTCCTAGTTACACTAAAGCACTATGGCACTGTTGTAACTATAATTAATATTACTTAGAGATCACACTATACCGCAGTTACCGACTAATTAATTGCATTCCTAATCTAGTATTCACAAATGCTGCTCAGAAAAGTAAGTGCGGAACGGTGTGTTATTAGTTATTTAACGTTAACCTGATTGTTTGCCATATCTCGCCTTAGTTATTTAATGCTTTTCTTGTCTATTAATGTTATGATGTATATAACTTTCTTCTAATGTAGATAGTTCTTCTAAAACTCTATTTTTAAATTTTTGGTTATTGGTTAGATAAAAGTAGTGTTTATCTGCCTAGTTATGCATTTAAAATGTATTTTTGTGCTATCATTGTAAGATACGTATTAGAATTTCAACTCTGAAAACGAAAGCCGTGTTATACAATATTATTAATTTATGTATACCCTTTTATGTGATCAACTATGTTATCTATAATAGATAAAAAAGAAAATGTTTGATACGTTTTGAAATAGAACAAAATAAATACTCTACTTTATTTCACAGTGTTTATTACGACCCGTTCTTAGCTGCGGCTGCTACGGCCGACTCCAACTACAGACTTCAGGTAAATTAATCGATGTTTGTGCTCTTATTAATAATTGTTACATAATGAAATGGATATGTATTACTCGTAACATAAAATTGTCTAGAAGACGACTCTGATTAAAGTAAACGATTGAGTAGTCTAAAGGTGGTGGTGACAGTGCGTGTGTTGTTGCAGGCCGCGAAGCCGGCAGCCGAGGTAAATCATCCAGGTTCTAGAGCTCATTTTCGTTCGATACGCGACTATATCTGTATTTCTATCGCTTCCTGATTCATGTTCCACTGCGCTAGTATTTAAGTTTTATACCATCGTGGAGTGAGTGCTGGGATTTTGTTTTTGCTCCTTTTATACTCGTATGGTCCTATTGGTTGGTACTCCACCGTAATGCAGGGTGCACATTGTGTTTGTGGTAACCAGATGGCGGGCGCACGCGCGCGGTCGGCCGGCCCGCCCGCCGTTTGCTTTCTGTTGAGTTTATCCTTGTTCGTTGGTATTGTGGTGGGTGACTTAGACTTAGGCGTTTGCTGAAGCTGTGAGTTGATTCGATCAGATGCTATATCATGCTCCGAGTAGAACATTGAGCCCACAAATCTTAATTGTAACTATCGAACTGTACTAACAATCACTAAGTAGTTTAGTGTCAGTAAGTTCAATATTTTGTTTAGTTTTTGTCGAATGGCGTCATTTTTTCTCCATGTTTATATATACTTATGCATGCTCACAAAAATCACCTAACAAAAAGTATTTCTGCAACAAAATAAAACACTCTCTCACGAGAGCTGTCTGTACTGAAGGACAATTTGCTGCAGGAAATGTCATGATATATGTATGTCACAGGAACGTTACTATAGGAACGCTGCATGTATGTAAATAAAATATTCACCTTCTACACAGATGTTCATTGTTTTATGAAATAGTTCTCAGTGCGTTACTTTGTGCATCGTTCTCGCTTTATTTCTGGCTACATAGATTATACGCTTCCAAAATAACTATAGTAAGCGCTCGTCGACAGAATTCACACGGTAAGAACTATCTTGTTTTAACCTGACCACGGAGTCGACCAGTTGTAAGATCACGATTCATCGACTCATCTGTCGGAACCGTGTTTTTCGCCGGAAATAACTATTTCACGCAATCGTGCCTTTGTGGGCTCATTGTTTCCATCACAAATTAATGTGTGTCGCAGCCATTTTAAATAATCCGTTATTTGGTTATACGACCGCCATTAGCTAACGTCAAAACGTGACTATGGGCGATTTAGGAAGGATTCACCTACAAATCGCTTAACATCTAAGCATAGTAAGACAGTTCCAACTCTTCAGTCTGCTACTAATGTAAAATGGTCTACTTTTTAACGTAGATACTTTTGTAACGAGTTTATTAATTGAACAGATAGGACAAAGATGGCATAGACTAACATTTAAAATTCGTTCTTTAGTTACAAATGAAGGCACGTTGAGTGAATACATTTATATAAAAAGTTGAAATACTTGTAACCATAGACTTGTCATATTTGTGTTACAGGCAGCAGCTACCGCAGCTGCGATGGCCGGTCCGCTGCTAAAGTCGCCGCTAACGACAGCACAGCACGCAGCGGCGGCAGCGGCAGCGGCTAACTACGGCGCCGCCGCACGCGCAGCTGCCGCCGCCGCCAACGCCGCGCCCGCGCCCACCGCGCTCACGCCGCTCGCCGCTGCGTAAGTCTTTTCTTACTTCTTGTTACACACAATAGTGACCGTGGTTGGCGATGTTGCCTCCACTTCACACGGTTATCCGTCAACAATACGACGTGCAAAGTGCACTCTCAAGTTGGTATTGCCGTGCAATTACCACCGAATGTTTTGTTTTATTATCAATACGCTAACCCCGTTTTCAATTTCTCCATTTATGACCCGATGTAATAAGTGATTTTTAGGTTTTTTTTTATATTAAATTAAATTGGTATTTAACCGCTCACCAAAAAAGCATGTTTTTTCAATTATGCCACTTCCCCAGCAAAAGTACTGATTCCACATCAAAATATGTACATCAAAATAAAATTAATTTTAGCATTATGTACTAAAATTAATGCATAACATTTTATCGCAATGCATATCTAACATCTAAATACATATCTAATATTTCTGGCATACAACAAACGTGTGACCACAAATTTATGAGAAAAAACATACCTATTTCACTAAAAGGTACATCAGTCTATCGGAATGAAACACCATTTTATTTGACATAATCATTGGTCTAATTGTACAATCTGTCCAAAACAAAAAGATCAAAAAACATTCAAATTGCAAACATTGCAACAAAGTGTAATGCTTGAAAGTCGTAGTATTTTTTTTGTATTTGCAAGTAAAGATTCAATTTAGTACCAATGTTATGAACCGCTTACAAGAAAATCAGCTTCAAACCTTAAGGCGATGAAGTGCCCAAAATCGCTTAAATATGGTTTTTGTGTAAGTTTTTAGGCGACAACATAGCACGTGGAACTTTGAAAATAGTACATCCTGTAACACGTATCTTGAAGTGTAGCTTGTCATTCCTAGAATATTGCTTATTGTCATAGGTAATACAAAAACTGAATTACAGTGAGACTTTAGTGGTTATTTTTTGACATATTTTTCTCGGGCAAACCATACTTGCTTACTACCAAATTTGGTGTGGTTATTTAAATGGTACTTATTTTGAGCCTGACACTTTATTTCTTTTAAATAGAAGACAAATAACAAATTTAGGAGTAAAAAGTAACTTTCGCCTACTAATGTACTAGCTAAATATTTGCTTTCAAATTATGGACAGGCACTTAACACTGAAAAAATATCATACACAAAAAAATACGTAAATAAGTAAATATAATGCACCAATTCGTTGAAATCAAAACAAAATATTTTAAAAAAAGTCAAATTTAGCCATTAGGTGAGAATAAAAAAAAAATTTGGTTGGATTAGAACCTAAAACACAAAGTATTCAAAACAAAGATGAAATTATTGTTTGAGTCATTGATTATTTAGTAAAATTGCAATGTTGAAAACTTCTGCTGCGTAGCTTACGTTCGTGGGAAACGTTGCCAGACCTCTATTTTGACATGGTTTTGACAAATTAATTTATATTGTATTATAATCGGCTGTCTACCGTCGAGCACGATACTTACGAGATATGTAGTTGGATATAGTTATGCAAACTATAACCAACCCACAAAATGTCACTTTCGAGATAATTAGATTTTTGTAAAAACAGTGTGAAGAAATAAATAGGTAAGTTATTTGAGACTAGAGATGCGCCGAATACTCGTTTGCTACTCTCTAAATAACTCTGAATAACTCGGTTCATGACAAGAGTACTCAGTTAAAATAAAGCATCACAGCTATAGACATAATAAAGTAAAATCAACATATATTTAAAATATTCAAAACAGATTTACTACTAGAAATTGTAGACAATTGTAACAATTTCTAGCAATTTAGTAATTTACAAAGAAAGTTTACATTATTAATATTTAAAATTTAACAAAGGCAAGTTATGATGTAGGAATATTTACAAGGCTTTCTGCGCGTTCAGGTCAGTCTGTTCCTTTTTTCTTCATACACATTACCCGCTTCGGCAAATAACCGCTCGCTATACACAGTGCTTGCAAGTGCACACAAAAACACTCGTGCTAAATGTGCTAGTTTTGGATATTTTGTTTTATGCTCTGCCCACTATTGGAAAGGACTCTGCTCTCGCGACAATAAACTTTCATTGACATATCGGCCTAATTCTAGAGCAACGGGGGCTTTTAGGATCATCGCGTTCCGGTCCCAATTATTTTCAGTAAATGAAATGACATTTTTGAAATAATGTTTTACAATATGTGTTATTCATTATATCATAAATATATTTGTTGTAGTGATTCATTGTATACACGAAGATAATTTGTGGAGCAACTTTTGAGAAAAATTACGATAATTTGTTGAGTTCTTAGGTTTTCGCGATTGTTACACATAGGAAATGGAAACTATTTTTCCGGATTTAAATCGCGTATATTTGTTTCTTCAAACAAACCGACATTTCGGGCCCTTTACAGGTCTCATGGTCACGTACACGTGCAGTAGTTTATTGTAATTTCTATTATTAATTAATAATAAATTAAACTTAATAAAAATTCATTTAATTAAATATTTGTAAAACTTAATGTAGCGTAAATTGGAATGTTTTCTTTGTAAAATTAAAAATAAGGTATTTAATTAATAACTATTGTAACTATAGTGAAAAAATAAGGTCGTTTGCATCAATATTAGACATAACTGGTTGAACTGTTGACTGTACCACCTCAGTCAACCGTGACCATGGGACCTGTAAAGAGCCCGAAACATCGGTTTGTTTGAAAAACAAATATACGCGATTTAAACCCGGAAAAATAGTTTCATTTCCTATACGATAATTTAAATTGATGTGTAATCAGTATTTTTGTTATGTAAACCATATTTTTGTTAATAAATGAACACTTTCGTTGTACACTGAGAAATTTGCAGAGGTCTAGTTTTGATACATGTTTTTAAATTATTTTTGATACTAGATATGTTAGACAGTTGTTTCATTTGTAGTGAAATATTTTTTTTTTAGATGCGAAAGTTATTTTAATAATGAACATAATTATGTTATAAATATAAAATTTTATATGCATTAAGTTTTCTGATATGCACTTAAATATTTCCCAATTAAAATTACTTATAACGTAAATTATATATACAGTATAACATAAATTAGAGTACCTTTTATTCAATGGTTACTGTTAAAAAACTATTAAATACGCTTTATTCCTGTATTTCAAAATTAAAATGATGCCAAAATAAATTTTCAACTACCCATTTTGCCATGAGATTTTGGTATACCCATAGTTTTTTTTGAAATATACTTAATATATTGTCTATGCCAGGTTTAGTCAGTAACCTAATTGTTTCATTTCAGGTATGGCAGAGAGTACGCTGACCCTTATCTAGGTCACGGCATAGGACCTGTCACTGGTTACGGGGTAAGCATGCATAATTTTCATAAACATGACCACAAGTATACAAGGAATGCAACACCTAACAAACTTCATTACTTATTTACAGACTGCCGTATACAGAAGTGGCTACAACAGATTTGCGCCATACTAAGCCAGTGGAACAAAGAAACGATTTTATTCGAATATGGAACAAACTACCTTCGCCTCCTTCTTAACATGAACATGACAATGAACTCTCTTTGTAAACGTACAAACATACTTCGTAACTTAAGGCGTCAGTAATAGTGCTAGCCGACTACTGTATAAGTAAGCTTGGTAGCATAGATATCAGTGAGGAGCCGGCCGCGATTGGCCCCGGCTCGGGAGTCCAAAACGTTCCCGCGGGAAGTGCGGGCGTCCGGAACTTATGAATACCAAAGTCATTAAAATTTCTAACTGAAATAATTAAGTTGAACTGTAATGTAAATTATTTGTGTAATGCATATACAAGTGCGAGCAGCTAAGTAAGCGCAATCATTCTATTTAGATATTTTAAGAAGAACTATTTTACTAATACCTACTCCTACATCTCAGATACCTACGATATTGTCTAGTGTAGTTCTTACACTGGTATTATTGACAATAGAAGTGTTTCGTGTACCTAACGGTATTTAGTGAGCTTTGCACTTGCATATCATAGAGAAATTGTAAATACTGAAGCCCAAACATTTTACTCATTTCTATGTACTGTTTTTATTTAATTTTTTTTTATGAAGTTACTAACGGGTAACTCCACACGAATGTCATCCCAGACTAGTTTCAATCTATTTCGATTTCCCTAACTAACCACCGATAGTTGAGGTGCATAGATACCTGCACTATCCAAGCAAATAGACAAAATAGATACTTTAGTTTTGAATCTCTAAGTACATTTCCGATGTATCGGTTTAGATTTAAAAGTTTGGTGGTGCGAATTTAATGTGGTGCCATTTGTTTGGTTGTATTTTACAAATATATTTTTCTTACAAAGTTACCTTCTAACCTACTTTTTGAAAGATTAATTTTATATGACTTCATAGCTCTAGGATTTGTTCGTCTACCACCTATGGAGGTACCGCAAACGAGCGTTACTCTATTTCATGTTCACACGTAGGTTAAGCTTCAAGCTTGCACGGATACGGCCGATGATCGCATCGAAGCCCACGTTGTGGAAGGCCAAAATTCACAATAACAGTTTAGCAAGAGTTTCTCAATTTCTGTACTGTGTACGTTTGCTTTCCAAATTTGGTTGAATTTACTTTCGCGAAATTATTATTGTAAAACGCTAGCGTGTCTAATATTTTACTGAATTTTAGTAGTAACGCTTTAGAAGTAGATGTATAAGAGAAGAAGGGAACTCCATTGAGTTCTTACATATCATTGAGATTTCTCTTTGTAATTATGTTTGATACTATTGTTTCGTAACGGTGTCTAATTTTACAGAGCTGTGTCAAACTTTTAACTAAATAGCTTTTATTTTACGAACAAACACGCGTACGGGTCCAACCCTTTTAGACGTCGTAAACTTTAGATCTAATAATGTTGGCATTAGGATTGTAAAGTATTGTATCTAACACCTACGAATTCGCTCAACGTTTATACCAAAGCACAAAAACCCATCGATTCATACGTATTCGGAACATTGCTTATCATTAACCACTTCTCAATAGATTTATTGGTCTTTCAATTTGAAAAACTTACAAAAATCTATGAATAACATAGATTATTCGAACAAATTAAGTTTCTTCATTCTATAGAACATAGAAACGTTTTTCTGTAGTGAAAAGCAACGGCGGTGTTGGTGTTATTGACATATCTATATCTATTCGCCCCATATAGTAGTTTTACATAAACAATGTTAAAGTAGATCTGAAAGTTTTGTTGACACGCTGTTGGCCGTCGTTTGTACTAATAAAATTTTTAGGGAGTGTATGCATCAGCTTCAACAGCAATGAACACAACACGACTAATTACACTTATTATTTGACCCTATTTTATGTAGGGATCTACTAAATTCGTTACTCATCGTCAATGGTCGAAATAGTTAGACTATATTTACCTAAACTTCGAAGACCAGAAACGGAAATTGGAGACTTCCTTATGTCTTTTTCGGGACTCGCATTCGCTTGCGGCAATGCACTTTTCAAAAAGTTAAACTAAGATATTTTCAAAAATTTAATGCAACCGACAGTCTTAGGATCAATAATACGTTTGGAAAACACGTCTTAATAATTCAAATTACATGCATTGAGCAAAACAATTTATTTGTCGGTTTGTTCATGTATAATCCAAAAATTTGGTGATTGCGAAGTTGAGATAAATATAGTTTACCTACCTATCCCAAATAACGTTAATTTTTAATGTACTTAAGTGATGTCCCGAATCCCGAAAAAGTCCGAAACAAATAAGTGTTGTCGTAAGGAAGTCTCCAATACCCGTCTCTGTTCCTCGAAGTTTAGGTAAATATAGTCTACCTATTCCGACAACTGCTCATCGTGTATAGTTTGAGTTCTTTGAATGTATGTATAATTAATGATAATAACATATCAAAAAATTTACGTATTTTTATCAGTTGGAAAATTAAAATCCACGTGTCAGTACGGTGTTGTCTATGGAAATAGCTTTAATTACTTACGTACGATGTTCTAGTAAGGCGCTTTCTGGTTTTTTGATATACACAACACACTTATGTTACATTTACATAGCAGCAGTAACCATGACAATTATTTTGGTCGAATAGAAATCTAGTCTTTTTGCGCACAAACTATGCATTAATTGTAGTGGGTGCTTCATTCGTAAATTTTCATGTGATATTTTCATACACGTTTTTGTTACGCTGATCTGATTTTGAGTTCGACGTATGCTGTCTTTAGGACTCTATTCGTTAAGCTGATTTGTGTCATATTTTTCTGATCGCCGATTTATTATTATAGTTCACTCATCTTTAGTGCCACTGGCTTTATATATAAGTTATATTATTACTTTACTAGAATAGTTTACTGTAGTCATGTTGCAGCTTCGAACAATATTTTGTGCTTTACTGCTGAATACTCATGCGTGAATGCGTTATTTTAAGGATCCTTTAGTTTTCGTAGGTATTTTCTCTTTTAAGTCTATTAAATGCAAGTTTGTATATCTAAGTACATAAGAAAGTACATGTGATTTGGTGATTTTATTTTTAGTGTTACTCTGCCTGAAATTGTAACGGAGTCACAAAGTATTGCCGTTAATAATGAACAAAGTAAATACAAATAACTTTGTTATCCAACTTTTCAGTTGCATTTTGCTATTAGGTTCTGCATCAAGCATGAATATGCGATTTGTGTCGAGACTTAGGTGTCATCTCCCAATTGTACATGATCTGATTTTATTGTAGTTAGTAATTCAATGGAGCCCTATGAATTATAATAGTGTTGTTGCCAACACAAGTCTACCCTGCCATTATCTAAAGGTACGGAAAGAATCAATGTTTTCGTGTTATTTTTAACATTTATACATGATTTCAACGATAATCAAATCACGTCAAATCGCAATGAAGTTTTGTATTGTATTAATAACTTCAAATCGTAGGCCAAATTGTTATTACTTGGAGAAAAATCAGAATTTAAATGACATATCCGACAAAATGGTTAGTGTGCTACAATAAGATTTGAAAAAAAAAAACAACATCAAGAACAATGTATTATAATGATCATTAAATTATAAGAATAATGTGTATTTTATAACGCAATTTGTTTCTCAGTTTTTAAGAGAAGCTGAATTTTCTTTTTATACTGTAATTCTCGTTTCTTTATGCTGTGCACAAATTATATGATCGATGGCTTCGACTATGTAATCATTAGGTCTAAAACGAATTGTTAAATTGTGCATAATAAGATGTCATATCAGTAGTGTTGTTAGCGGTAGTGTAAATGCTAACAGCACACGAGGAAAAATGATTGCTGTTATAAATGTGAGCTCTGGACGCGACACCCGCCATCGCTGCTCTACCGACAAAACCTGCTGAGTAGACAATTGATCCTTGACAAGTTTACATTGTATCAAAGAATCTATCTCAGAATTCTCCTATAATACTGTTCTGTTTGTTAATTACATTATTGACAATTAATTGACCTTGAATATTTTATGGGTGAATAGCGGATGGTGTGTCCTAGCCCTGTTGCCAACTGTAAATAGTGTTATCGGCGCAAGTTGCGCGTATAATTTGAACCCTCGGGTTTATATTGTTAATGTAGCCAGAGTTAATAAGTATCACTTGTTCGTCAATTGCACTCGTCGATGCTGTTCCGTTAAACTAGTAGAGTACTCAGATAGTAGAGTTTTATCAACCGGCTCGTGGCCCACGTGGTAAACGGGTTTAGTTCTCAGGAATGCCACCCTAACATTAGCGATGCATTTCTTTAAACTTCTTAACACGTGGGGTCACGGACTTCCGTAGCGCATACTGAATCACAACGGTACTTTTATAATTAAATTCATTGAGTCGTGATTGCTGTGCGGTTTGTGAGGCGTTGACCAAACGTCATCAAATAATACCTACCTGTGTATTAATCATTAACAATCGTAAATCATTGGTATTAGAGATCATTGATACAATTTATGTACCATTTTCCCGAGCTTGTTTCCGCGTTATTATTGTATCGGACCTCACATCGCAGTCACAGCATTTACGCTTAGCTGATATGATGTGGGACCGGCGATGCGATGTGAGAGGTATGCGTTACGTGCGCACGCGCTGTGGGAAGCGCGTTCGTGTGCTGACCAGTATTTGAGATACTATTACCGTGCTCAATTTCCTTATCTACATGTTGTACGTATAATGTTATAACTAAATGTTTTTGAAACTTAATATTAACTACAATAGATTTGTTACATAATGAATGTCTTCCGTTCGGCACATTTTATAGATTCGATGCACATTTTATTGTTGCACGGGTACCTTTGAGAGGAGTGCGATAAGTTTAAACAATTTTGTTTCGAGCCAGGTGCACAGCGAGCCCTTCATACGATTTGTGATAAATAATCGATGAATAAGGATTTTTTCTCGTGTGGCAATTTCAAGTAGGTTGCAGAGCTGATTCTCTCTTTTATTGTAAATACCTTTTTTTATTGTGAAAATTGAATGAAGTGAATCATTTAATGAAAGCCTTTGGCATTGTGTACTCATTTACGTTATTAATAAATTATAGTACGGAATTGAATGTTTTATTAGGATTTCCTTAACAACGAAATTAATTTGCATTTTCCTTCCTAAGGCGCGTTGCCATAATGTCGTGACGACAGATAGTCGCGCAGTTTAAAGTTTCGTGTCTTGTACATTTAAATGAAGATGTTCACACATAGAACAACACGATTAACTGTCGTTCACGTTCAATTTTTTGACGTTACGACGACAGACTGTCGTGACAACAGGAAGAGCTAGAACGACAGTCGTCTCACGATAAATACCGTACCGTTTACGGCATAATGGACACGCGCCATAAAACTAAAGTTTAAAATAATACATTCATTGCCAAAAATGTATCGAAATATCGTAGTTATCGAATTTCCTTGGAAAACAATATTTGAATGCCTACGGCAAGTATAACGAAGTTGGCTGGCTCTTATCGCATATTATGAGTTTAATGATTTAAAACGCCACTCCCATTAGTCGCGGCTGAAATATTTAAAGAATACTTTAGTACAGTCACGTGCATTAATATATAAATGCGAAGCGAAATAGTAATTCAATTTTTATAGAAAGTTAACTGAAACCAAAGTGAAGTGTTAGCTAAAATAAATATATATATACGTTGGTAAATAGTCGTTAAAAAATGTAAAACTAATAGACGTGTCCATTATTCGCTTGGTCCAGGATTATTCGCATTGTGTTATTAGGTTATTACGCTACATATTGCTACATGCATAATAATGCACGTTATTTCTACTGTATATGAACAAATAATAGTTATTGAATGACAAATATACTATTATTTGCGACGATAAGATAAAATGCTCCTTGATAAACAGAACCTAATCATTCCTCAGTACGGAGTAATTAAAACAATCGGAATGGTGAGATTATCGGCCGTCGCGATAAGTAGTGCTCGTGCGCCGATTCTGCAGTGTATACGCGTAGGAACACCGTAAGCCCGCACCACATTATAATTATTTATTTCTGTTGATGCGAGTTAGTCTCCGAAACAATGGTGTTGTGCCCGCCATTTCGAAGGAAGAAAGGCGGTTTTAATCTTGGCAATGTGCCACCAAAGCAACCTTCGACGCCCCGAACAATTGTAAGTACTTCAATTAAGCAATTCGATAATGCTATGTATTAAAGTAGCCCTAACTGAACAAAACTTTATAAAAGAAGAGATCAATGTAATGTTTTCGTTATCCAATGTTTCAAAATCAAGTGTTTTATGAATATATCGTGTTTTAGAAAGGACTTCATACAACTACTTACCTAACAGAATAGTGATGCATCTCAATAATAAACTTGTGCCAATTTTATTTAGTCGTAGTTAAATCATATACTCACTTATTCGTACAAATTTGATTTAATGCATGATTACCATACATAAAGCATTAATTACTTCGTAAAGAGACTAACTAGTGCTCAAACTCTCAAAATTCATAATAGACAAAAAGTATCTGTTGCGTTGTTTTCAACATGATCTTTGATTTTATGTTCAACGTTAATTTTATTATGAATCAATTATTTCTGCTTAGTAGTTGTAATCGCGAACGTAATCTCGATAAGTTAATAATTAGATAACGTTTACTTTAAGAATTCAATGGAGATGTGTATTATAGATAACCACTATTAATTGGTGTAATTATATAGATAGTAACGTTGCCCAAAATCTGTCTTGGTCTTGTTGTAGCAAGAATTTTTGCGGTTTGAACAATACTGCATTCTGAATAAGATAAAAAGTATCAAAGTGGTTTTGTATGACATTTACACGTAACACCAATAAAATATAATCCAATTATATTTTCCACAACCACAATGTGACCAGAGTACGTAAGCATTTCTTCGGATTTGGTGTTATACGTGATGGCAAATTAATCGTTAAGGACCATAATGATCATATTGCTAGTAAGGCTTCTAGGATCCTCGATTTCGTGATACGTATATCCAATGACTTAGTCTCTAACATTATAATAGTACTGCGGTTTTGTGTGCAGTCCTCTCTCTCGAGCACGCATCTCAGGTGTGGAATCCGCAGTACATTGTTTATAAATAAAGGGTTGAACATACAAAAACGATTTCTGCGTTTTCTTGACTAAAGCCGGAAAATAGTCTCTAAGCTATGAGTACCGGTGCAAGCGGTATCACTTTCTACCTCTTCAAATGCGTCGCAAATTGAATGACGTTTGTTTGTTCTCCTGGCTGTACGTGATTGTTTCTCAATACGACTTCTTACTAATATTGACGGACTGACAGATGACATGGAACTCATAATTGCAGTAATTACTTGGAAAAATGTTAAATTTTTGTGTTGTGTTGTATATTTACCGCCAAATTACAACTCTGAGAAATATCTGAGCGTCTTGACATGCATTGAAAATGCAATCTGTTTATTTCCTGACACGAATGTAATCGTTTTAGGAGATTTCAATTTAAATTCCTGTAGCTCACTAGTCAACACTCAATTTGACTGTTTCTGTGATTTCTGTAAATTGTATCAGCATAATAACGTTCACAATCATTTTAATGGAGTATTAGATCTTGTACTAAGTAATACAGCATCCGACTGTGTGACCGTCACCATGGCAGTGGAGTCCTTTGTCCCTGCGGATAATTACCATCCCCCACTCGAAATAACAGTACCGTTTACACGAGGCAATGTCTTTGCGCTCCCTGTCCTGTAACCCGTGAATCGCCCAGGGTTTTGTCCTGACTGGCATTGGCGCGGGGCTGACTTAGAGGCGCTTTACGTCGCTTTGGGCCAGTTAGATCGGTCGGATCTGTTGACTACTAAAGATGTAGATATTGCCACAGAAATATTTTATAATAATTTGTACGCGTGCTTTAATAATTATGTTCCTCAAAAAAATATATGTTCAAGATCTCTTAAAAAGTATGTGTATCCCAAATGGTACACGCCCGAAATAATACGTAATATCAAGAATAAATATTTTCATTTGAAAAGGTTTAAACGCAATAATTCAAATTTTAATAGAACAATGTTCAAATATTATAGAGGTCATGTAAAATTTTTAGTTGACATTGCCTACAGACAGCACATGCTGTCAGTTGAAAAAAATATAATTGATGATCCTATTAAATTTTGGAAATATATTAAAGACAAGAAAACACAGCGCCAACGAAATGAATATTTTATGTACAACGGCGATCAGGTCTCAGGGCGGGCGGCTGCGGATGCCTTTGCTCATTATTTCAACTCTGTCTTCTTAACTGGAATGCCAAGGCTAGATGCTGCGGAGGCAGAGCGAGTGGCAGGTTTCGTGCCGCGCGCGACGACGGTATCTATCGGTGAAATTTCCCAGGATGATTTAAGGAAAGCTGTAAGGAAACTCAAATCGCACTCAGCTGGTGGCCCAGATGGGATTCCCGTTTTCTTGGCTAAAGATTGTATATCTGTCATTTATTTATTTATTTATTTATTATAATAATTACATAATAAGTTCACAGCATGAGCCAAAACACTTATATGCTAGTCAAAGAAATGTAATAATAATAATTTATATAATACAATTTATATTATTATTCTGCTTTACATAAATATTCATTTAGGAATAATACGGCATATTTGGAAAATTGCTTCGAACTGTCTCCGAATACGTCGGCACGCGACTGCAGTGCGAGCAATTGGTTAAGCAAAGAGGTCGCCCTAACCGTGGGTGCATGTGCGCCGCTGCAGGTGCGCGACGGAAGAGTCGCGAATAACGGACGTACGCGCCTCTGCACTACGTAGCACCACCACCACGCAGATATCGGTCTGGGACAAACAGACCCATACGAGACACAACTGTCAAGTTGTCAACCCCACCGTTCAAAACCGCATGGTAATGCATTATGAGCATTAGTTTACGCCTCAGTACAAGGCTGTCAAATCCGGTCATTCCAAATACGAACATAGAAGGGAACAGATACGGATAAACATTGTACAACTTTTTATAAATAAATCTTGCAAACTTTCGCTGAATCTTTTCTATCATTTCGATATATATAGACTCGCGAGGATCCCATACAATTGCTCCGAATTCTAACACACTGCGTACGTATGCGTTATACAGGATCAATGCTACTTTTGAGTCAGCAAAAGCATAAGACGTTCTCATAATAAACCTCAGAGTTCGGTGTGCCTTCTTACAAATTGTTAGAATATGGTCTTTAAAATTGAACCGCGAATTCAGGGTCAAACCAAGATCCCTGATCTGTGCTTACAACGCCACTGCTTCATCTTTATAATCTTTCGTTAACTCATTCCATTTACCCGGAGCGATGGAAGTGCTCAAGAGTGACACCTATACCTAAACCAGGAACTGACTATAACATCACAAACTTTAGGCCTATCGCAGTACTCCCGGTTTATGGTAAAATATTTGAAATAATATTAAACTCCCACATAACTATACAAGTCCGCAACATCCTTCACAATAGTCAACACGGCTTCCGCGTAGCTAGATCGACAAATACCAACCTCGTGTCTCTAGTTGATTATACATGCACTGAAATGGATTTGGGAGGACAAGTAGACGCCGCTTACTTCGACCTTAAAAAGGCATTTGATGTTGTGGATAATGACATATTATTACAGAAACTGGCAGCTTCAGGCTTTACGCCCAAACTTCTGCAATTTTTTGCGAGTTACTTGGGTGGGAGAAACCAGTATGTTAGAGTTAATGGTTATGAGTCTTTTAAATACTGTACAAGATCCGGAGTGAGTCAGGGAAGTACCCTGGGGCCAATGCTATTTTTACTCATGATTAATGAACTACCACACTATGTGCGATCCGCCAAATGTCTTCTATTCGCGGATGATTTAAAGCTCTTCACGAGGGTTAGTAAGGCGGCAGATGCTGAGGCACTCCAATGTGATATTGACGCCGTATCCGAATGGAGTCGAGTCAATAGATTGCCACTAAATGAAAATAAGTGCAAAGTGATAACTTTTACGCGTAAACGATCACCCCTTTTTACTAGATATGGTTTAAATGACGCTCCTATGGATAGAGTTAATAACATTCGCGACCTAGGTTTAATATTAGATGACAAACTGGATTTTCATACTCACGTGACTGAAATGTGCAAGAAAGCTAGCAAAACCTTGGGTTTTATTATGAGAATTGCTTCACAATTCCAGAACAGTAGAGTAGCAAAGGTTTTGTATAATGCGTATGTACGCAGTAAACTCGAATACGGCGCTATCATTTGGGATCCTCATGAAAATAAATATAACCTTATGGTGGAAAGGCTTCAACGTAAATTTGCTCGATGGTTATATAAGAGAACTTATGGGTACTATCCGTTTCGCTACCCCTCCTTATTTGTAACTGCTATGGTCGATTTAGAAACACTTGCATTTAGGCGAAAATGGATGCTAGTACGGTCAAGAGCACGTCAAGCTTGACATTAAAGGTTTAAATTTAACTCTACGCCGCTTGCAATAAGAACTGTCCAAAGTTCAAAGTGTCAAGCTTGATGTGCTCTTGACTGTACTACACTACCTATCAATCGTTCATAATAAAATCGATAGTCCAGATATTCTCGAGAAATTTAGCATTCTGTCCGGTGCCCTCTCGCATTAGTTGGGATGAGGCTGGGATAGTGACGCCGCGTAGGCGGCTGCGCTTGCTGCAGCGGCCGGCAGTGCGCACCGTTCGTTCGCGCTGCGCATGCGCCCTCCGCGCGGGCACTCACGCTCATCGGAGATATGCTCGCTGACCACTATGACATGGACTTATTTGCTGATTCCTTTGGACAAATTCTTAGGAACGCGATATGTTCGCGTTTAAATAATGACTTTTTACGTGTTGGAAAATAGATACTAAGTAGGTTAAGGTTTTGACATTTGTAAGTTAAATTGTATCTATAATTTTATTTTATTTTAATTGTATCGCAATTCTTTATCAATAATTTGTAACGTTGCCTAAGCTTGTGGGTGTTTTGGATACGCTCTGTGAGCCCACTCGCAATATTGAATAAATAAATAAATAAATAAATAAATAAATTATATCTAATCTGCCTAATGGCAACATTGACTGTCCGGTATTACTGTCGAAAATTAGTCTTCGCAATAACACACTAACTTCGAGACGGCGG